ATCAGGCAGGTTGATAGTTGTGTAGCCATCCAGTGCTTCCATGAGAACCAGGTCTGCTCGAGATGTAATGGACCTTCGTTCTGCACGAGGAAGAAAAACCTTGTTCACCAATTCAAACAGCAGTTGGTACACTGGAAGGAGGGCCTTCTTGTGTACCCGTTCCCCTTGCTGAACTACCTTATCCTTCAAGATAGCATTTCTAAAGTTCGAAGAGCAGGTTCCCTGAACAGAAGACACAACCTCAATAGGCACTCCCAAAATTGTTCCCAGCACAACAGAGTCCATCACAAAATCAACACCATTTACCATAATACAAATATGATCATCCTCAACTGTAAGGAAGTCGGCATAAAGACTGCACACTTCTTCCTCATAAACTCTGGGACTATCACTTATGAACAAGTGGGTCCACTGTTGGAATTCACATATCTCCACCAATTGGCACATGCCAGCCATGTCCAGAATATCAGTGGCAAATGTATGGCCCCACAACAACTTTTGATTTTTTAATTTTTTCTTGCCAGCATCCTGGGCATCACCAACCTTGGTCTTCTTGGAGGAACCAGGTTCCTCACTGGCATCAGCCTTCCTTTTCACTGATTTTCTAGCATTCTTTCTTTTCTTCGCAGATGTTTCAGACACCCTTTTCTTAGACACTTTTTCAACCAGTTCTTCAGTCTCTTTCTCTCCAAGTTCCTCAACCACCTTTCCACCAGATGTTTCACCTTTATCATTCTTCAAAACCATACCACTTACAAATGAGTCTTTCTTGGACGTTGGAATTGTAAGTTTCTTTGAGGACTTACGAACTAATGAACCAGGTTCCTCATCCACCTCATCATCAGTATCGACAACTGGTGCCGGAGGCACTACCCTCTCATTTACAATCTTCCCATCCTTCACTGTTCTCATTCTCCTCCTCAAATAGAGATCGCATCGCAGGAACCATAATTGATAATGGCTCAGCGTTAAAATGAGGAGAGGAGGCGGGATCAGTACTGACCTGGGGTTCTTGTGAAGAACTAGGGATTTTATCCCTATTAGAACCAGAGGGTTCTTCCGGGATGAAGGGATCAGGTCCCTCAGTTGGTTCCCCAGTAGTACTGTCAGGTGCCAAGGTTTTGACAGGCACCATTTCCCTATCCTCGACCTCTGTACCATTTTCTTCCACCTGAAACTCAGACACACCCTCATAACCTCTAATCAGACTTCCCTCAGCAGTGATTGAAAGCATATTTTCTATAGCTTCTTGTTCTTGTGACTCCAAAGTAACTTCAGAAGGCATAAGAGGATCATTACCTGTAGGATCAAAGCCCGGGGATGCCATTGTCGATTCATCACGGTTATGACCCACACCTTGGTCTTTAGCAGAACTTTCTTCCAATGGTAGACTAGAAATTTCTTAATTTTCTTCTCCATCCACTGTATCTTTGTCAACCATCTTTTCCGGCGAGGCAGAAGTAGAAGTCACAGCCACAAATTTCTTGGGAGTCAGTGTTTTGCGACTCCGATGAGAACCAGAACTCGACTGGGTTGGAAAGGAAACAGAGGGTGGTTGTGACTCTAGCTTAGGGTCTGGACTAGTCAGAACAGGGAGTGTGGGCTCTATCACTAGTGTTTCAATGGATGAGGACACGGTGAGGACGATGCTTGGAACATTTTGTGTTTCCTGATTATCACACATGGTGGAGTGTAGTTAGTTGAAGAAGAGAGTTTGAAGAAAGAAAAGGGGAATTTTGGATTCTTGATGTGAACAGTTCTGAAAGTGACTGTGAATAAATTTATTTAAGAGGGGTGAGAGACCGGTTGAGTATCAATTTTGGGTAGTCGGGTCGCTTCATAAAGGGTGAGATGCTTGGATTCAAGTTGCAACAAAGAGGAAACTGGCAATGTAATGATGTGGCACCATTTCAGCCGTTTAAAAAATTATGCATGAGAGTACATAGGAACTACTAACCTATGTCAAAGGAACCAGGTTCCCTGACAGAGTTTGAAAATGTAAGCCTCATCCTTTGACCAACGTGCAATGCATTAGCTACTTGTCTGCTCTGTAATCGTCATGTGTGTCTACCTGTAACGGTATAGAGGTGAGTTAGACTACACCAGAAAATACTTTTTAGCTATTTTACCTGTATATTTCTTTCATAGCCAATCATCGAGGGACCAGGTCCTCAGCTTGATTTTATCAACCACAGTGCAAAATGATTCTTCTCAAAGTGCTCTCTGCTCAGTGCTTTGGTAAAGATATCTACAATTTGATCTTCTGTACATCATGCAGATAAGCCCCTTTTCAACATTATCTCTGAGGAAATGCGGTCTCATATCAATGTGCTTTGTTCTCTTATGTTGAACTGGATTCTTTGCCATGTTGAGAGCACTGGTGTTGTCATATAGTAAGGGCACATAATAAGAAAATACACCAAAAACCTCTAGTTGTTGCTTGATCCACAGTAGTTGAGCACAGTAAGAGGCAGCCGCCACATACTCAGCTTCTACCATTGATAGAGCCACTGAGTTTTGTTTTCTTGTACCCCATGAAATTAGACACGAACCTAGAAAGTGTGCCTTTCCAGAAGTGCTNGTTTTATCCCTATTAGAACCAGAGGGTTCTTCTGGGATGAAGGGATCAGGTCCCTCAGTTGGTTCCCCAGTAGTACTGTCAGGTGCCAAGGTTTTGACAGGCACCATTTCCCTATCCTCGACCTCTGTACCATTTTCTTCCACCTGAAACTCAGACACACCCTCATAACCTCCAATCAGACTTCCCTCAGCAGTGATTGAAAGCATATTTTCTATAGCTTCTTGTTCTTGTGACTCCAAAGTAACTTCAGAAGGCATAAGAGGATCATTACCTGTAGGATCAAAGCCCGGGGATGCCATTGTCGATTCATCACGGTTATGACCCACACCTTGGTCTTTAGCAGAACTTTCTTCCAATGGTAGACTAGAAATTTCTTAATTTTCTTCTCCATCCACTGTATCTTTGTCAACCATATTTTCCGGCGAGGCAGAAGTAGAAGTCACAGCCACAAATTTCTTGGGAGTCAGTGTTTTGCGACTCCGATGAGAACCAGAACTCGACTGGGTTGGAAAGGAAACAGAGGGTGGTTGTGACTCTAGCTTAGGGTCTGGACTAGTCAGAACAGGGAGTGTGGGCTCTATCACTGGTGTTTCAATGGATGAGGACACGGTGAGGACGATGCTTGGAACATTTTGTGTTTCCTGATTATCACACATGGTGGAGTGTAGTTAGTTGAAGAAGAGAGTTTGAAGAAAGAAAAAGGGGAATTTTGGATTCTTGATGTGAACAGTTCTGAAAGTGACTGTGAATAAATTTATTTAAGAGGGGTGAGAGACCAGTTGAGTATCAATTTTGGGTAGTCGGGTCGCTTCATAAAGGGTGAGACGCTTGGATTCAAGTTGCAACAAAGAGGAAACTGGCAATGTAATGATGTGGCACCATTTCAGCCGTTTAAAAAATTATGCATGAGAGTACATAGGAACTACTAACCTATGTCAAAGGAACCAGGTTCCCTGACAGAGTTTGAAAATGTAAGCCTCATCCTTTGACCAACGTGCAATGCATTAGCTACTTGTCTACTCTGTAATCGTCATGTGTGTCTACCTGTAACGGTATAGAGGTGAGTTAGACTACACCAGAAAATACTTTTTAGCTATTTTACCTGTACATTTCTTTCATAGCCAATCATCGAGGGACCAGGTCCTCAGCTTGATTTTATCAACCACAGTGCAAAACGATTCTTCTCAAAGTGCTCTCTGCTCAGTGCTTTGGTAAAGATATCTACAATTTGATCTTCTGTACATCATGCAGATAAGCCCCTTTTCAACATTATCTCTGAGGAAATGCGGTCTCATATCAATGTGCTTTGTTCTCTTATGTTGAACTGGATTCTTTGCCATGTTGAGAGCACTGGTGTTGTCATATAGTAAGGGCACATAATAAGAAAATACACCAAAAACCTCTAGTTGTTGCTTGATCCACAGTAGTTGAGCACAGTAAGAGGCAGCCGCCACATACTCAGCTTCTACCATTGATAGAGCCACTGAGTTTTGTTTTCTTGTACCCCATGAAATTAGACACGAACCTAGAAAGTGTGCCTTTCCAGAAGTGCTTTTCCTATCCACCAGATAACTAGCATAATCAGCGTCAGCATACCCGATCAAGTCGAAATTGTCTCCTGATGGATAGTAGAGAACCAGGTCCTGAGTTCCTTTGAGATACCTAAGGATTCTTTTGGCAGCCTTCAGATGAGATTCCTTTGGATTAGATTGAAACCTCTGTACATAGTCTCGTTCACAGAGGAACCAAGTTCATCCATATCCGGACGAGTGGTAGTGGCAATAGGTGTATCAATGATCTTTTAACTTTCCATCTCAAATCTCTTCAGAAGCTCTTTGATGTACTTTTGCTGATTTATCATTGTGCCCCGAGGAGTTGGTCTGACTTGTAGACCTAAGAAGAAATTCAATTCCCCCATCATGCGCATCTCGAACTCACTTCCCATGAGTTTTGCAAATTCCTCACACAATGAATCGTTTGTTGCTCCGAAGATGATGTCATCAACATAGACTTGCATAATGAGCAGGTTCCTCCCTCGTTTCTTCAAAAATAAGGTGTTGTCAATTTTTCCTCTTGTAAAGTTATTTTCTAGAAAAAATNCATTTGCTAGAAAAAATTTGGACAACCTTTCATACCAAACACGAGGAGCCTGCTTAGCCCATATAGTGACTTGTCAAGTTTGAAAACATGCTCGGATGTTCATGATTCTCAAATCCAGGAGGTTGCTAAGACTTCTTCTTTTAGAAAGCCATTCAGAAATGCACTTTTGACATCCATTTGGAACAATTTCAATTCCATATGAGACGCAAATGCAATGAGGATTCTGATTGCCTCTATTCGAGAAACTGGAGCAAATGTTCCATCATAGTCAATCCCTTCTTCCTGATTGTACCCTTGAACTGCCAGCCTTGCCTTATTTCTAGTTGTGTTTCCAATTAGACACCTGAAACTTGTTGTGGGATGGTCTAGGTATTTCTGAATGTGATTCTCTTTCTGCATATGGGGTCCCTTGATCTGCATCAACAAATCTATTTTCAGCTTCAATTGTTGTGATTGAGGAACCGGGTTCATCTATGTCAGTTGGAGATTCAGCTATGCCATTGTCATTTGAATCCTTGACCTGACTCATCATGTTAGTTTTTCCATTTTCCATGTCAATGACTTCACCAGGGACAGTTGACTATTCTCTCTCTTGATCAATCTTATCATGTGAATCCTTCCCATATTAGTGGTAAGATTCATCAAAGATAACATGTATACTTTCCTCAACACATTGCATCGCACACATTGTGATCCTTGAAGCTTGAGTTGGGCAGGCCACGAACCAGGTCCTTCTTGACCAACTTGTTCAGCAATGTGAAACTTACATGACCCAGCCTTCTGTGCCATAGTTCAGCATCATCTTCAACAACACTTAGACAACTGAGATCACCACTCTTGTTTCCCTTGTCACAGATTTGGGAGATACTTAACAGGCTGTACTTCAACCCATTAACATAGTACACATTTTCAATTGAGTGAGAATGAGGCTTCCCAATTCTTCCAATTCCCAGAATGTATCCCTTTTTGCCGTCTCCAAAGGATATACTCCCTCCTTGCAGGGCTTTGAGTGAAAGGAAATCATTTGTGCTTTCAGTCATGTACTTCGAGCAACCACTATCCATGTACCATTTTTGGCTGCTCTCTTTCACTGCTCCCTGCACAAGGAAATCAAGGGTTAGACTTAGGAACCCAAACAAGTTTGGGTCCCTTGTAATGAGGAAAGGGATGAATCAGGACCTTTTTTGTCCAAGCAGGTATCATGCGTCTTTTATATGAAGGACCAGGTTCTCTAACAGTAGTTACATTTTTAGCAAAAACTTTATTTTTCCGTTGAGACTGAAACTTGGCCTTACAGGTTTCCTTAAAGTGCCAGTGTTACCATAGTGGGTGCAAAGCCAGTTATCAGGTACAGTAACATACTTGCTATGAGAGTTGTAAGGAGTCTTTTTCCTTTGGAACCCTATCCCTTGCCTGTTCCCCCCATTGTTTTTATACAAGGCAGTGATAGCATCAGAGGACCAGGTTTACTTGAGTGATTTTTTCAGAGCATTCTTAACTCTGCCTAAATCTTTCTGAAGCTGTTTGTTTCTCTCAAGTTCAGCACACAGACTAGATTTCACTGATTTTAGCTCATCTTCAAGCCTAAGGTGTGCCTCACTTGCAACTTCCTTTCCCTTCTGGGTGAACTCATGCCTACCTTCCCTTTTTAGTTCCTCAATTGTTTCCTTTAGGTCCATGACTACTTCTAATAGGTTATCTCTCTCATGCTCTATGTTTGCAATTATCTCAGTCAAAGTATCTTTTTCCCTTTTTAAACTCTCAATGGTCTCTCTTAGATCAACCGCAACTACCACTAGATCATCTCTCTCGTGTTCTATTTCTCCTAGTTCCGTGGTTAGCGTATTTTTATCATTAATGAGACTGTGATAAGTATCAATTAAAATATTAGACAAAGATATAAGCTTCTTTTGAGAATAGAATTTCAAATTTCTTTGAACATCCAGAAAGTTTACCTCATCTTCATCGTCATCTTCCTCATCCTCATTTGATTTAGCCATTAGAGCAAATATGGAATCATATTCAGCTGCTTCACTTTCTACTGCCATCATGGAGTTGTCACCTTGATCATCATCATTTTCAGATTCTCTAGAGGAGTCTCCCCATGCAGCAAGAGCTTGCTTCACAATATTGTCAGCGACATTCTTACTCTTGAAGCGTTTATCAGGAACCGGGTTCCTCTTGGCTGCTTTGTCTGTGTTGTGATTGAATTGATCTTGATTTAGGAGGGGACAGTCCTTGATGAACTGTCCTGGCTTGCCACATTTATGACATAGGTCATAATATTTTGGCTTGCTAGAACTGCCCCTTTTTGGAATGCCTCAATTTCTGCGAACCATTTTCTGAACTCTCTTTGTCAAGTAAGCCATGTCAGCATCCTCATCACTTGATTCATTGTTGTCTGTCTTGAGGACCAGGTTCTTCTCCCTTTTGGGCTCTCTTCTCTCATTGTCCTTCTTCTTCTTCATTTCATAGGATTTCAGATTGCCAACAAGTTCATCGATGGTTAGCTTCTGTAGGTCCTTTGCCTCTGTGATAGCATTCACTTTGCTTTCCCAGGAGCTGGGAAAAACATTGAGTATTTTCCTGACAAGTTTGTTTCTTGGAATGATTTCTCCCATAGAGTGAAGCTCATTGATGGATTCATCATCTTTCATTCTGAAAAGTTCATATTTTGTGGTAAGCATGTCAATCTTTTCTTATATTCTGTGGTAAGCATGTCAATCTTTAATTGCTTAACTTGTGTTGTTCCCTCATGGGCTGTTTGGAGAGCTTCCCAGATCTCCTTAGCAGATTGGCATGCTGAGATCCTGTTATATTCATCAGGGCCGATACCACAGACAAGAATTTTCTTTGCACGAAAGTTCTTTTCTATGGCCTTGCGGTCAATATCATTGAACTCCTTTCTTGTTTTGGGGATTGTCACAGTTAGGGCGCCACTGGTTTTTGTAGGGTCGAAGGGTCCATCCCAGATGACGTCCCATAGCTTTGAATCTTTAGCCATGATGAAGTCGTGCATCCTAGTCTTCCACCATCCATAATATTGGCCGTTGAACCTTGATGGTCTGTAAGTAGACTGGCCTTCTTCGAAGTTTGGCGAAGCAGCCATGAGGATCCTTTCTAGGTGTTAACCTGATAGAAAGAACCTGCTCTGATACCAATTAATAGAATTCGAGGGTCCACCAAACTATGTAGAGAACCAGGTTCTCTATAAGTTCCCACAGATATAAGTTTGCACAGAAACCATGCATATTGCAGTAGGTAAATGACAAGAGGAATTTTACGTGAAAAATTTCCAGCTCAACGGGATTAAAAACCACGACCTACCCTTGTAGGATTTCAACTTCACTACTGAGCAAACTTTAGATTACAACCTATTATAATCTAGGAATTAACCTCTTAATCCCTCTCTAACTTGTAACAACTCTATTACAAGCCACTTTGTAATAACTCTATTACAAAGACTTAATCACTCACTAACTTGTAACAACTCTATTACAAGTCACTTTGTAATAACTCTATTACAAAGACTTAATCACTCACTAACTTGTAACAACTCTATTACAAGTCACTTTGTAATAACTCTATTACAAAGCCTTTACAACTCGACTAAACTAGCCAAGACATAAACACCAGGGTTTATGATTTACAAAGATTTCCTACACAATGCTTCTAACTAAGCTAAGCAGGAATTACAAGTAAAGAACTTTACCAAAGATGCAACACAACTAAGGACATGTAATGACTCAATACAGGAAGCTGGTCCTTCGTTGTATTGTTCTTTCTTCTTGATGCCCTTGAGAATCACTTGCAAGATTGACACTACACTTGAGAGAGAGCTTGATTGATTCTAGAGTGTGCAAGTGTTGTTTTGCCTTTCCTTCATGTTAATATTGCATAAGTGACCTCATTTGAATGATGTAAGCATGTTTAGTACAAATGCATTCTCCATAAAGTTGATTGCTGCACTATTTTTGCACTGTTGCGTGTGCAGGCAGCAACTTTACAGTTATGGGGAGTTGACTGGGTACGATCACCAGGGGAACCGATGTCCATCTGTTCCCCTTGTCGTTTCTTTGTCGCCTGAAGAGTTGATTTACATCTCCAACTTGAGACTTGTTATTCCCACGTACTTGAGGGTGTGTATCAGGTTTTTTATCTTGTTCTTATCATTAAGTTTGTTAGATCATTAAAATATAACAAGGATACATGTATAACCCATCACATTCATTTCTAGCATAGTAGTTCTGTTGTTTTGTTTTCTGCGGTAAGAGGAGGTTTGACGATTAAATAGGAGAGCACGACTCATATATCGAAAAATTATTTTCATAATGTTCTATACATATATATGGTTACAGATAAAAAGAGATACTATTAGATACATATGTATTTTCCCCAAGCACGTATATAGTCACTAAAAAGACTTAACATATGGCTCACCATTTCAGACATCACTCTTGATTGAGGAGCTATAATTAGTCTGATCGTCATAGTATTTAGACCACAGCATAACTCCACCATACTTAGCTGAGCTTTTTATTTTAGGAAGAACTTGAGAAGTGAGATCATCAGCTGGAATAAATCCACTCCCCGCGGCTGCAGGAGCCGCTGGTAATCCCAGAAAAATCTTTGTAGCCGGAATATCTGAAGTCCATTGTTCCCATGCAGATTCAAGATTGTTAATATCACCAGAACTGTATTGACAAGGAGGATTGTTATAGAATTGAACCCAAACGTAATCGAAAACCCCTGTTTTTAATGCATTTCCAATCCAAGCATCAGGGAATGGGCATTGCGGGGCTGCTGTTAAATACACCTTTTTTCCCATACTGCTATATGCAGAAAGTGACTTGGCCAAAATATCCCAATATAGATTTGTTCCACCTTCAATATCAAAGTCTATTCCATCCAAAACAGCATTGCCAAGAGGACGAGTCCTCGATTCTCCTCCTAAGAAGTTGTTCCAAAGATAAGTAGCAACTTCCCTAGCATCGTCAGCAGAGGAAAGGTAATAAAATCCAGCGCCACCTCCAATTGATAGGATCACTTTGATTCCTTTTGATTGGCACGATTTTATGTCTGAACTTAATTTGGTGCACTCGCCAAGACTTGGATCACAATGACCGGCAAGATTTATCGTAGGTTGTTGGCCATTGCCAAAAGTTGCTAGAAATGCTATGTTCACAATTTCGTAGTTTCCCGTGGCACAAGTTTCTGCTAGAGTTCCTTCATTTGCATTTTGGCCCCAGTAAATAGAAATTCCACCAGCATTACAAGAAAGAGCAAGTGTCAAAATGAATAAGGAGAAGATTGGCATATATGTTTTCATAGAAAATGCCATAGTTATGCAAATTTTCGGATTGATTGGTAGACTAGAGAAGTAGTAATAGTTGAATTGTGGAGAATGTGTTAGAGGAACATGGTTTTTATAGGAGGGATCCTTAATAAAACAGAGGGCTATTGTTTTGTACTTATGTAATGAGGGTGTTGCTTCACAGTCGCGCAGTTCCTATTTTATAGGTATGAATTAGCCACAGATTTGGCTTATGCTGTTGGTTTCACATCACCAGTGCGTAGAGTCTCAAAAGCTTCGTGGTATTGTCTAGTAGCTCTTGTCAATTAATTATAAGACACAGGCAAGTTTCTGAAACAAGTGAAATTGTGCCTTTGAACCCTCAGATATTACTATGGACACTACGTAGTGCCAACCATTAATCTCCCTTTTGGCTTTATTTTTTCAAAAAAAAAATTGAAGACATTATTTGTTTATGAAATATGGTCATGCTATGAAAAAAAAAATCATAAATTTTCAAGTTACCAAAAAATAGTTTAGGGCAGTTTTGGATTTTTAAGGTTCCCATCGGCCGCTGGCTAAAAGTGATATTTGCCCCATTTGCTTATCAAGAGGGCTGAAAGTGGACGGGCCATCAGAGGGCCAAAGTTTCATCTTGGGTCAAGCCCATAGAGTTTGAAACTTCAAGCACTAAAGAAGAACCCAAAGACAATTCTCATCCATCCTAACTCTGCATTAAAGATGAAGCATATGTAACTTGATCAAAAGCTAAAATGGTATTCATACAAATTTTTATGTCCGACCATAAGAAACTATAAACATGAGCGTGGAGGGGAAGAGGGAAGGCGATTTGATTTTTAAGAAAAAATATTTTGGCAATCCAATTTTTTAAACATTTGCATTTGTTACTGAAATTGCAAGAGATGTTTTTGTATAATAAATAATTTAATTTTTTCGGGTTTTCAGTTATTTTCTTTATTGAATCTTCGGAATATTGGGTCCTCTTGTACGAATACTTAGATAAATTGGTGGAAAAATGAAATTAAGACAAATTCTCTCACATGACAATATATTACAATAGCTTCTCAAGCATGAAAATGAGAAAAGACCTAACCAAGCAGTCTTACCATATGATACAGTACTCTTATAATTTGCTTAGCAAATCAACCGTAGCTTCTTCATCAGTTAACATTCATTTTTTGGCATTAGAAACATCTGGTTGCATTCTGGGCTCAATGTTCCCGATGTCTAGGTTAGGCGTTAAATATTTTACTAATCTTTTGCTAATAACTGTCACTTTCATTGTTTCTGTTGTCTGAATAAGCAGGGGCGGAGGTAGAGTACGGGATGCGGGTTCGGCCGAACCCACTAGCTTTGTTCAAACCATGTATTTGTCTTAAGAAATCCCTTGAAATGTACAACTTATTAATTTAGAACCCGGTAACTTAGAAGGATTACAATTCCGAACTCATAAGGTTCAAATTCTGTCTCCGCCTCTGTGAATAAGTCTTAGCAATTAAGACAAAGTACACTATTTTATAACAACAAAAAAGGGTTAAATTTACCCCTCTACTATTCGAAAATGATTAATTTTGCCATCCGTTATACTAGCAGTCCACCAGTGCCCCGACATTATAAAAATAGTCTGGAATTACCTTTCAACCGTTAACCTTTCCACCATGGCCACCACCATACCATATAACTTGACATTTGGGTGAAGTGGACGCTACGTGTCATTCCACCTCACCACCCTAACCCCCAGTTTACCCCTCCCTCAATACCTTCTAGAGTAGCAACTTTTGGTTATAGACTAGCGCTCCATAGACAGCAATATAGAAATAAAAAATGCTGTTTATAATTCCTTGTAAGAACCAATCAAACATAAATCTATGAAAAGCCCCAGACATAATGCTTGAGTTGACCTCTGGCTCTCCTTGTAAGCTTAGTGATTCTTCATTTTTGCCATTCAAGAGTCTAAGCCGAAGGATAAAGGAATCTAAAATGGATCAGAAAAAAGAAGTAAATGCAATTTCAAAATGAAGTTGGGTGGTGAGATATTATGTCGCGTGATGTCCACTTTACCCAAATGGCAGGCCATGTGGGATGATATTGGCCATAGTGAAAGAGTTAACGGTTGAAGGATAATTTTGGACCACTATTATAAAATTAGGGCACCGGTGGATCGATAGTTGGGGTGTTAGTTGGTCGGTACGGTATTTAAATGTTAAATGTAAGTATGCAATCAATGAAAAGAGGGCAAGGCAAGTATAGTTGGAAAAAAAAAAGGGTGGTAATGGTTAAAGAAAATTATAAAAATAATAGAAAGTAAAATTTAGAACTTTAATATTTATGTTATAATCAATAATATGTGTATTGTGTAATTTAATATATATTTCAGTACGGTATCGGTATTTCAATATATTATTTTTAAATACCGAATACCATACCTAATATCAAATTTTTAAAAGAACTTAAACCAAATGCCAAAATATTGAATATCAATACCAGAATTCTAGATTTCGGTATGCTAATTCGATATTTATCAAATTATGCACAATCCTAACAGATAGTATAACGGAGGACAAAATTAATCCTTTTCGAATACTAAAGGGTTAAATTTGACCCTTTTTCGTCTTAGTTATTTTGATCCCTGTATTTATCTAGTGGGCACTTTGTAAATAAATCTCATAAATCTTCAAGGTAATTTTTTTTACATATTACCTCAATTTTAGGAGTTTACTTTTACTATAATTTGGTGTAACAAGAAAACAATACATAATATAAATGTCATAGTTGAATTCTTTAATAATTACATAAATTATAATGTACTCGCTGCCATATAAATTTGTTCAAATGAAGGACGCATTGTCATCTAAATTGTGATGTTCATTTATTTAATAACTAAGTTAAGCTTTAAATATCATTTCCATCTTCAAATCTTCTAACTTTAAACTTCGTTATCCGATTAATTACTGCTTGATTCAGTAACATGTCAAAGAATGTCAAATCAATATTTTTTTAACTTTATTTTTTTGGGTTAAAGAAATATTCAACTATACTTCGTGAAGTTCATAAAATAAAAGTATATTGATAATCCAACTTAATAGATATATCTAAAATTGGCAGTGTTTTCAGTGTTGTTGCACACTAGATGCATCATGAACTAAAAGCTTAATTTAACAGGTAATGCCGGCTTGATGAAACTTTTTAATTCCCCACGGCAATGAGAAAGTCCCATTTGTCTTGTGATCCACCATTTTTTTTATGGAGATGAAGCATCAATGAATCGAAGGGGCCTGGATTGGACTATTCAAGGTTTCAGTACGATTCATGTTAAAAGATTAATAGTGAAACTGGAGTTGGGTTCACTGTTTTTATCTCTTGAAAGTCCTTTCTAGTCTCTTTATGTACAAATATTTGTTGCAGATATGTGTATTATTTAGAAAATATGTTTCTTAAGAGCATCGTCATTTTTTGAGAATATTTTTGTTGTTTACTAATTCCCTCCAATTCTAAGGTATTTGACAGACAAACTGTTTTTTTTTTTCTTTGGGGAGGGAGGTTTAACCTAGTGTCCAGTATAAGAACAAAAGAGTACTTACCTCCACAATAACCCGTGTTGGCCAAACTGTTATTAATACAACAATATATGCTCTTTACAATAGAAAAGAAGCAATAAAAGGCATATACATAAGATGTTGGATGTATGGAAGGTTGTCTTCTTTCAACAAGCGACATCCGTGAGCACCATTTGAAAGATTTTCGACATCCTTGAGGCAGGTAATTTATAATATTGGTGTCACCTGATAACTAATTACTTTCAATTTGTCTCGCCGCACGTGCCTCGACAGTGCAGCTAATACTCCCTATATCCTCAAATATTACCATTTGAACAAACTGAATTTGTTTCAAAATATTTTTACGTTTTTCATTTCTTACCTTTTTCAAAAAATTTCTTACAATTTCTATTAGTGGAGTGTTAATTAAATAAAACGTTGAAAATAACATATAGAGTACATTAGACAAATGTTCTAATGATTATAATTATAAAATATATTTCTTTAAGGGGTATGCAAAAAGTTTAAAGACAAACAATATGAACAAGAGGGAGTACCAAAGAGCCATTCTAAAAACTTTCAATTTAGCCTTATTACCATTCATTCCAACTTCGATTTGTTCTTACATAGTTTAAGCTAACACAAAGGAGAAACACCACAATCATTTCTGGAAACAAATCACCAACTAATAAGTATCAGTAAATAGACAAGTAAGATGCCTAAAGGCCTATGTAAACACAAGAAATATTACAGTAAATTCTGAAAACTCATTATCCTTACCAGGCTACTAGCTCGTCACATTTACGCTTTCTTTTTATCTCGTAATGGCCCTTTGGGAATTTTACTCAAAACCTTGGCATCAAAGACAGCATACTGTTTCTTGATCTCCTTCACTGCTTTCTCAACTAATGGATCCACTTTATCTTCATACTTCTCGTAAAGAACCGGAACTGTATGGAGGAGCACAAATGCTGGTGCATTGGAGGAAGATACAATGAGTATCAGTTAGAGCAGATAGCAAATACAAAAGGACCAAATAGCCACCTGGAAAATTTGCACTTACATATGTAGAACAGTGTCAAAAAGTTGCAGCAATTGCCAAGCACGGAGAGGACCCATAAACCGGCAATAACCTGATAATGTGAGTAATTTATGTAAACAAAGACGATTCCAATAAATTAACAGAAATAGAACATCATAGTGACAATTACTCAGTCACAGGTGTACTCTTCTGCACCTACTTAAAAATAAACTAAAAATGCTTAGTGAGTCCAAGGACCTATAAGAATCGGAATACAAGGATGAATTTCAGCAAAGACGATTGCTCAGCCTATTTAAAGAGGCAGAGATAATCCACAAGGCAGAAGACAAAAAATTTAGCATTCACAGGAAATATAAGCTAATAAGCATCCAATTCGAGTTTTTCTACAGTAAGTGCTTTCATTAGCTACAAGAGGAAAGCCTACTCTTTACTTAGCCAGCATAAGTCGAAGGAGCAACGAATTTAAGTACACACATGACGTGAAATCTAATATGGATGAACAAGAAAATCGCTTTCAGTAACGCTGATGGCAAAGGAGGAACAACAGAGTCTCAAGGTAAAATTCTATACAAGGAAAGTACAGTAACTGAGCAACTTACAGAAAGGAACTTCGTAAGATCTCTCCCAGATGCAATTTCTCGCAACACACGGAGAGTATGGTTAATTTCAATCCTCAGAGCAGAAGCAATCTCAAGGATCGGCTCCTCTGGAAGGTGAACTTCTGGGATATGTGGACGTTTCCTGTACAGAAAAATGGCAGAAAAATGTTCTCAACAAGTGGTTAAGCAAAATTGAAGCTTATATTAATGCAAAACTTAAGCTCACTTGTTAATAAAGGTTGTTGCATTAGACCACAAGAATAAGATTGCAAGGGTGAAGATCAAAAGGTGACAAACAAGACCAAGCAGGTGGTACTCGAGCAATTCAAAAAGAACCCATATTGCAGTTGCTCCACCAAGTACACTAGCAGATATCTTCTTGTTCCTCCACAAGAATACATCAGCAGCTGCATAAAAGCACACATAATCAAACTGATGTTTCTCTTCTCAAAAAGCTAACTCATAACAAACTCTTCGTATAACCTAGGTAACTAGATGCCTCACTTTACTCTAACAACCCAATAAAGCAACCAAACATCAGTTTGTGCCTAAAGCCACATTATTTATCAATTCACTCTTACAAGCAGATGCAAAAAATCCAAACTTTAGCTTCCTCCGAGCCCTAAAACACTTGAAAAGCACCCAGTATGACAGCTAAGATCAGAGACGAGTACGGGATTTGAACTTTATTGGTTTTGAATTGTAGGACATTAACCTTAAATGCTAGTAACTGGATTCTAAATATAATTTTTTTTTAGTAGATTTCTTAACACATACACAGGGTTTGGGCTACTAGGTTCCGCCGAACCCATATCTTAAAGCCAGCATCCCCACCCTAGCTAAGATAAGATGAAGAACATGAATACAAGCATGATATATACACCTAAGAGCATATTTGATCTCAACATTCTTACTCTTTATGATATTTCGTTTGTACCTGAGGTATTACTGTTTCCAACTTCCAAACACCTTATATAATAGGACGTTCTCCACCTAAATACACTTTATTTCAACACACTTTTCTTTTTAGTCCGTCCAAAAAATAGTGGCACGTTTCTATACTTAAAAACAATTCTAACTTTAAATTTGCAATTTTGCCTTTTAAGGTTTATAGCCACAGAAATATCTAGCTTATTTTAAATCACAAGTTTCAAAAGACTTTCTTTCTTTCTTTCTTAAATTTGTAACCAGTCAAACACCATCACATAAAATTAAATAGAGAGAGTACTAGACTTGATTCACTAGAACTCAGTAATGTAAGCCTACCACACATCTGTAATGTACTACCGAACCAAACTCCTGGGACAGATCTCTTAAGATACTTCAAAACACCAAACCCTAACCCTAATCCATTACTCAATAAGCAATCACTTAACCAAATTAAGTTTGAATTATTGAACAAAATAATATAAATACGTAAAGTAGAAAACAAAGTAGAGTATAAGACTGTACGTTTGCCTCCACCAAACACTTGGTGTACGGGCTTTTCTCGTCCAAACAGCCGCCAAATCGCGGCCTTTACTGACGACGGAGACGCTGCCTCCGGCGCAGACGCAGGTTTCTTCTCGGTGTCGGAATCCGACGACGAGGACGAGAAACGGTCGAAGTGAATCTTGTCTTCTATTTTCTCGATCAACGACTCTTCTTCGTTGTACTCTGAATGCTCAGCGTGCTCTGCCATTTTCAGTAAAAACAAGTAAAAGTTAGAGGGGATTTCTTTCTTATATACATATAGGGACATCCGAGCCGCTAGGCGCGGTTCATACACCGAGCCTGAATTAACTTCTATTGAGAGATTTTTTTTTTTCCTTAAAAAAAGTTAGTGGTTGTTATAAATATATTATATTATGGATGTTCATTTAATATTTCGTTTTAAATAAGTTTCCTGAAGAAACTTATCCATATGATACTTCGCCGTAAATATGTTTATCTATTTAGTATTTTATTAAAAATAAGCCTCCTGAAAAAGCTTATCCTTTCGGTACTCCGTTATGGATAAATATTACCCATGGTAGAAGATTATCTATATCTGGCACAACAGCTTAGAGTAGCAGCTTACACAACAGCTTACAAGCA